AAAATCCTCACAGCTTTTATTTTGAAATATTTGTTAATTTACAAATAGTTCGAACAAAAAGCCGCGGTTTGATTTAAAAAATCTTAGGACGAATTTGCGAATTTTTTATATATTTTACACAAAATTTTCTTTAAGAAGTATAAAAAAATATTAGAAAATAATGTGGTACTGTGGACACTAATTCAACATTTTTAGGAAGCCAAACAAAAACAAAAAAATGAGGAAATTGGGTTTAAGCAATTTATTGGTAGTGCCAACTTTATGTTAACAGTTTATAAGTACACGAGTTCTTGATTTTGAAAACAGATTGTAAAGAGGACGTGCAAGTTAAGTGGAATCTGGTAAGTGTTATGGTTCACAATGGTAATTAAATTATATACTCGTAATCTAAAAACCAGAATCTAACAAAAATATTTAATAAAAATATTCATGTAAATAACACCATAGGAGTTTGTTATATCTTAATCATAAAAAAAAGACAGATGAAGTGTTTTTGACATGTCATAATAAGTGATGTACACGATAAGTTCAAGAATATTAAAGTTTGGCTGCTTCGCATTTAATAATGTTAATTAATTCGTTATAAATTATTACAACAGTGAATACAAGTGCAATTTGAATTGAAATTGTTACGTTTGAAATTAATCAATCTAACGTTGACAATATATCAACCAATGATATTTACAAGTGTTTATTTTGTTTATTTTTAGTAAAGACATTTTATTGAATAAAAAACTGAATTGATTCGATATAATTATTTTCTATTTCTTATACACTTAAAATTCACTCTTGTATGTTTTGTTGACAATAACAAAAAATCAATAAAAATAAAAACCAAATACATAAAACTAATTTGTATATCACCAAATTATGTGCAAATATTTAAAAACGAACTGAGGAAAACAGTTTATTGTATTTTAATTGTTTATTGACTATTTTGTCGCAGACTTAATTTTCTTGTTACTCACGATTAATGACAATGTTTGTTGGGAAACAATAATCCCCAAATAATGTCAGGTTTGATTGTATTGTAACACAACTTAAACTGTTGCATCTATAAAAACAATAACCACCAATTGATATGACACTAAATGATATTGTAACACTGCTTAGACTGCTGCACCAACTAAAACACCCTTTACCAAGTGATGTTACATTTGATGATATTGTGACACTGCTCAGACTAATACATCCACTGAAACACCAATCATTGATTGATCTCACACACGATGGTATGTCATTACCAAATTCTTCTCTATCAATTATAGTGTATGTCACATTTTTAAGTTCGATGTTTCGACGTTTGTTTTTGTTAAAAGTTTTATAATCAACACTGAACCACACAATGATATGAAAGAATTCTTTCTTTGAACATTCTTTATTTTTACAATCTTTATTTTCTTTTTTGTTGACAATAAAATTATTACCAAAGTTCTCATCTTTTATATTCCACAAGTGAAGTGTTTCAATTTTTGGGAAGTAATTAATTTATTTGAAATTCAATGGTATTGGGTTGAAGTGAAACTTTTCCATATTACCACCAAATTTCTTGCATACCAACTCCAAGTTAATAAAGTCGTTGATAGAGTGAAAATACTTCGAGACTATCATGACGTGATAACAGGAAATTTGAGACATTTCGATATTTACAGTTTTTTGTTTTTTAAAAAAAATATTTAAAATTTTTATTTAATTGTTTTTAAATTAACACTAAAAAAACACTTCCTGTTAAAAATGTATTCAATTACTTTTTTAATATTTTAGGAAATGTAGTTCAAAAATAAACTACTTTTTTAATAGTTTATATATAGTAAAATGAAGCATATAATTAAATTATCAAAATAATCAATTACTTGCTAAGTGCTAAATAATAAAAAACAAAATCAAGCAAGTTTTATATAAAAATAATTTGTTGTCAATTCACCAAGTCTTGTTGACCCTTTGTTGTTCTGTTTTATACCAAAATCATAAAACAGACTTGTTAAACCATTAAAATAACTTATTTGTATAAATGGTTACCAACAAAATCAGTAAATTAACATTGCGATTTTTAGTAGTAACATTTATTAAAAAACATCAAATTTAATAAAATCTAAACTTGAGTTACAAAACATTTTCCCATTCATCTGGAGACTGGATTTGATAATGCCGTTGAGTATTCATAACATATACTTACCAAGTTTTTATTTGTTATATAATTATTATAGTATCCATTAGTTTTTAAACTAATGGACTTGGGCAAACTTGAATATGTCAAAATAAAATGAAATAAGTTTTTTTAAATGGTTGTATTATAACTTTAAAAGTGCACTTTTATGAAAGTACCCAAAGTGATGGATCAAATTTTTAATATGTTCGATCTGTCTTTTCAAAATTTTTGGAATCATTCAGACAACTTGATGTCTGAATAACATAACAGATTTATTAGAATAGAACATTATTTAAAAGTGTTGTGTTAAAAACAACAACAATTCGAATATTAAAGAAAAAACAATTTTGAGATCGATGTGATTCAACAAATTATTGACTTGTCCAGAACTATTGAATTAGAATTTTACCCAATTGAACTATTATATTAGACTTATTAACTTTTTCAATTAAGAAAAGCAGACAAATACAGATAGTTTAGGGTTATTTATTTATAAATAAACTCGTTGTTTGTACAAAAAAAATAAAAAAAACAATTTGTTCAAGTTTGTTTTGATAAAAAAAAGTTTTTAAAATAATAAAAATAAACAAATTTAAAATTTGTATTTTTTGTGTAAATAAATAAGGTTAAATTAATAAATTAATTTTTAAAACTAACCTTAATAAGATAACAATTAATTGTTGGGTATTTTATATATATTATCACAACATCAAGATTCGTTTAAATGTTGTATTTATAAAATTAACAAATAAAAGAAATCATCTGTTTTAGAAAATCAAATGAATTTACAAACAAAAAATATGTCAAACAACTAAAAATCTATTATATAGTAAAAACACCTATCAGTGTCACGTCAAATCTTTGACATGTGTATCAATCAATAAAAATATTGTTTGTACATGTATAAAACTAACTGTTGATGAATATGGTATAATAAAAATCAAACTAAATTTTTGACACCAACAAAACCAAAAATTAAAAAAAATAAAATATTGTATTCTTTTTGCACTTCTTTTTTTTTAAGGTGAAGAGGAAAAATAACAGCTTATTTAAAAGAAAGAAATACAAAAAGAATATTCAAAACTTTTTGTTCAAAATTAACATAAATATATAAAATGTATCACAATTTAAGCGTTGATTTTGTGCTTCATTTACTAAAAAATTCTTTGTTTTTAATTGATGTTATTAATAATAGAGTCAGTCTAACAACGTTGTCTGTTCCCCAAACGTTGTCTTTTTGACAAAAAATAATTGATTTTTGTTTCAAAAAACGGGAATTAGGTAAAAATGAAAAAAAACCGAAATATTCCATTTATAATAGTCTAAAATTTGGCAGACAATGTTACAGACCAGACAACGTTTAGCAAATGACTCTATTTTATTTGTTTTGAACTTCTGAATATTGAATTTTATATTTAAATTTTGGGATATAATTAAATTCTTCAAGAATTTTATAAATTTAAAAACACAAAATTAAAAAAAGTTGTGTTTAAATGAAATTTTTTCTCTTTTTATTTTAAGTTTTTTGTATTATTCAAATATTAAAACAAAATAAAAAACAAGATCACATTATACATGCAGTTAATAATAATTGATAAATTATTGAACCACATCGTTATGTATTTGAAACCCAAATAACTTTCACTCTTTATCAGAAAATCGTGATAATAATATTCTTATATATTTTAAAATTAAATATATAACCCGATGTTTGTTTTATTAAAAATGATTAGTTTTATTTTATAAATTATTAAATACCGATTCAAAAAACGTTATTTATAGCTATTTTTAAAATGCATATTCACTTTTTGTTAGAAACTAAAAATAATTGAATAAAATAATTTTGATTTTAAATTCTTTCGAATTAAATTTGTTTTTTATATTTTTTATTATTAGTTTTGATTATCAATTATCCAGTAAAATCAAATGTAACTCTTTGGATTATGTATACACCAAATCTATTTTCCAACAAATCTTAATTAAATTTTCTTATTCATTTTAGGCTTGTTTTAAAATCGCATTAAGTTAAAAGTTGTCTAAATTATTTTTTTAAAAAATATAATAAATCAAAATTAGCACTTAATTTATTATATAAAACCCTGCTTATAAAAAATAGTTTTGTTGTATACAAAATTCGAATTGTAAAGCGGTTAATTGAAAACAACAAAAATGTATCTACAACGAAAAACTGTTTTGTTGAAAACATACAATTGCCTATGATTATGCTCAAATTTCAAGATACCAGTCTAAACAAAATTATTATAAATCAGACAGAATTAATATGTGAAATAGTTATCAAATTCTGTAAATAAACAAAAAAATAAAAAAATCATTTTTAATCTTAATATACCTTAATTTGTTTCGACTAATTAATATAATAAACAATTGTTTATATTATTTTATCAATAACAGTTACTATTTATAATATGTTACTCTATTTTGTTTAAAAGTGTATGATTTAACAGGTTTATACATAATATGAAGAATGAATTTTACTTGAATTGGATTAAATAATGCTTTATTTTTGATTGTATCATTTGGATATCATCTACTTGAAATAAATCAACTTAAATACCATCTCTTGAACTCTTACTTATAAATGTATTCCATATTTACCAAGATTGTTATTGTTTTGATGATAACAAAATGTGTAAACGCTGCACGTGTTCCGGTTTGTATGTCTGATTTTATGGCAGTGAATATGGAATCAGTTGATATTACATATGATATAATTTCTGAATGTTATTCAAGAATACCCGATTATCAATACTCGATTAGAGGTATGAATTTAAGGTCAGATTGTTATATAGATGATAAGTATATGTTTATTAACAAGAGTAATTCTATGATAAGCCGTTGTGGACAGTGGCTTGAAGTTGTTGGACCTAAGATGACTCGAGTAGTTTGTATGGTTGCAGGAAGTATCAAACCATATTTTAGAACACTCCCATTTGAGCCACTGATAACTTATGTAGCAATGCACACTGGTTTATATTTACAAGTTTCTGGAGGATTATCTCTTGAGACTGATGCCATTGTACAAACAACAGTTGCAGAAACAGATTTTGATTTGAAAGTGAATCCCACTTTATGGGTGCTTAATAAGACTGATACTGAAGTTACGTTTCAAGTCACAGATTGTAACCGACCTCACGAATTCATCGAAAGAGATAATGAAATTTATAGAATGAATTTGGACTTCACATTTACTTTACCTTTAAAGTACAAAGAGTTGAGCATCAATTTAATTAGTTTCCAGAATGAAAAAATCACTTTTGAAAACGTTGATTTAGACAAGGTTACAAAAGTCGTGGCAAACAAAAGATATGAAACACAAGAAATGTATCACTGTGAATTTCTGATGAGTGAGATTTTGTTTACACAAAATGAGTATATCCGACATCAACTTAACAGTTGGTATTTTTATCAAAGTGGTGATCGTTCCAATAATATTTTGGTAGATAGTTTAAAACCTTTGTTTGTATCAAAAAAAGAAGATAATGTAACTAATTTGATTATGATAAATACGACTCCAATTCGTTATCCACAGTATTTCAAAGAAGTTTCAATAAAATTAAAAGTTAATTTTGATTTCGAGATAACAGATATATCTGAATATATCATTGGTGGCGTAAGAAATTTAAATGAAAATTCACAATTTACATTAATCCAATCTAATTTGGTTTTTCAAAAATATCAAGATGATTCAATAGTTGGGCTCAAATTTGGATTTGGAATTGACAGAATGGAGTTCTCAAATTGTTTTGTGATAACGTATAAAAGTAAAGAAGGAGACGTGGTTGAATTGATTGATGGAGTTTTTAAAAAGTTAAATAATATACAAAATATTAGAGAATGCAATGCAACAGCACTAAATCGTTTAGGTAGTGAATGTACTGTAACAAATAAATCAATTGATGTGGGAGAAGATTTGTACGAAAAAGGGTGTGAGCCGGTTTGTGGAAATTGTCGAGATGGATATATGTGCACAACAATGGGAAGGTGTATAAAAGATCAAAATTATAATATGAGAGAGAGTACAGTAAGTGTTTCTTATAATATTGTTTTAGTAGTTATGATCATCTTATTGTTAATTAATTGACGTTGTTTGTTTAGTTTAATAAAATAATAATAAAAATATTATAATTAAATGTCCATGTTTATAGAATCACCAAGTTGTGTTCTGGATAAAAATGAAAAGTACTAATGAGTAAAACAAGCATTGAAAGAAGATAAATCGGTTAAGGCTTTACAATTAATAAGTTTTTTTGAACTGTTTATTCAATATAA